TTCTCACATTTACTCTATATTTTTAAAATAAAATCTTCCATATTAATTATCACATATTCGTTGTTACCATATTCGTTTGATGATTATATATTGTATGTATGATATAAATTTGGTGGATAGTTGGGTTAAGATATAGTTAGACTTTTCTAATTATTTGCATAATGGTTCATGTCATCAAGAATTTTTAACAGCTTTCATTAAAAGTTTCTTAAAATCCTCTTTGAATGACACCTAGGATTATTCACCTAGTGTCTCCTTTATTAATATATAGAGAATATTCTTATTAAATTTTAGCATAAACCCATTGACACATGGTTTACAAATCTAAGTCCAACTAAAAATAATATTTAGACTTACCATATTATCTATTTTAAAATTTTCTTTTATATTTTAAAAACTTCTTTTATATTGTTTTAAAAAATTATTATTATATTTGTGACAAATATTATTTATTGTTTATATATGTATTTAGATTAATATGATATATAAAATTTTAACCCATTTCATTGTTGAAAATTAAATATTGCTTTTCGTTTATTTTGTTCGACAAATTCATATAAATCTAAAATTTAATTGATTTATCGCATGCTCTATATTTTATTCGAATAATAAAAATTAATTTTACACTTAAATATATTGAAATAAATAACATTTTCATATTTTATGATCAATTGCACATAAAAATATTAAAATTGATGGCATCAAAATATGCTTGATCAAAATTTAACTTGATTATACTTATGCACAATGTATATCATTTTCTAAGTTTATAAATATTAAAAATCATATGATTTGTTAGACACATTTAAATATTAAAATAGATTAAAAATATATTTAATTGTTTAATCTCACGCTTGGCGTGGATCAAAATCTAGTAGTTATGTATATTAGATGCAACGTGTATGATTAATTATATTAAAAGTTTGTATGATACTAAAACTTTCTTTTAGTCATCATTTTCTCTCTCTCTCCTAAATTTCTCTCTAAAAAGCTAGAATTTTGTAGAAACTTATTGGAGATTCGTTTGCTGGTGTCCAGCATTAGCCGGCGTCGTGTTTTCTTTGTAAATAGTTTTGTTTTCTTGTTTTGTTGTTGGTTGTAATATGTGTAGGTGTTCCCGATCTGAATCGGATTAGTTTGTCCGGCTAGATCCGGATCTATCTCCGACTTTGTTCGGATGCGGTTCTCCGGCTTGATTGGAATGTTTTCTCTTTTATTCGTCGGGTTCCGATCTCGCTATGATCTCACCTGTCGATTTATCCGTTTTCCCCTTCATTTCTCTCTGAATTCTCTTTTCGTTCGAGGAGTAATATCTTCATCGTTTTTTTCATTTACTCAAGACGCATGAGCAAAGATGGATCTCAAACTACATCAATTTTTTGGGTGTGGTCGGTGATGAAGCTTCCCCGGAGTTGGTGTTTCTCGGAGAGATTCTGAAATGATTTTAATTTTAGATCCAGTTGATTTCGGCTATCTTGGAGATTGGGCTTGAGATCGGCAGAAGGGTAGAGGATTTTCTTCGCCTCTTGGCTGATTAGCGGCGGCTAATCGGAGATTGGCAGTGATGATGACCGGCGGAGGCGTAGTTTCGAGAAGATGGTGTTTCTTCTTCCTGTGTTTTCGTTTTAGGTTTGGGCTTTGTATTTAATTCTCTTGGGTTTGTAACTTGGGCTCCCTTCTGTATTAGCCTTTGGACTTTTAATGAAACTACGTGGTCGACCAAAAAAAAATATATTAAAATTTTGTCTTAATAAATCTACTTGAAATATATATTGATATGTTTTGAGTTAAGATGTCAGTTTGAACTTAACATTTTATTTTGAAAGTATCATTAACATAGGATGAATTTAGCCTTTTTATAACTTATTTTAAAGGTATATTGAAGGTACTATATATTGTCAAACAATTATTTATTTTGAAATCATATGTATAGATTCTAGTGTTTATGTAGTTTTCTATGTTTTTACTTTTTTGCTATATATAACGGATAGCACCGGATATCTGCGGATAACTACATAAGGTTCGAATATCCGAATTTTTAGATATCCAAAAATTTTCGGATCGAAGTGGATCAAAATATCAAAGATCCGGACTAGACGAAGCGGATCACGGATAATGGATTTTTTTCAAAATATCTTCTCCGCGTCTAGGCCTAAGCTCAATAAGCCTTCTGTTAAGATTTGATTATTTGGTGTTAGTCTCGTTTTTGTGTTATAAAACTCTGAGAAGAAATCCAATAGAAATATGTTTTCCCTAGAAGAATCGCCATCAAAATTAAATCTAAACACTTTGTTTTAAATGTTTTTGTTATAAACCCAATTAGTGGATGCCCATTAGAAGCCCATAATCTAGAAGGTTCTATCTTGTTCTCCAAGTTAAGCTTCCTCTCCNAGTTATTACTCNTCCCCAAGTAATTGTATCCTATATATACCTTTGCTCTCTATTGGAATAAGACACACAATC